CTCGTGGCTGCTGTACTGGAGAGTATGGCTTGAGAGCCTTCTAGGGGCACAGGCTTTCACCCCGCTGTGCATTTGCAAGTCTGCAGGGGGATCCAGGGGTGTCGGTGCCCCACAGTGGTTGGGGTGGGGAAGCAATGGTGAATAGTCTAACCACCCACAGTCTCGCTGGCTTTGCTCTGTGGCTGCCAGGGCAGGCGGGGCCTAGGAAGGCAGAGAGTGGGCTTTGGGTCAGCAGGCCTGCCCCCATGCAATAAGTGGCAAAACTAGAGGTCTATGGAGGCCAAGCCAGCTGGCAAAGGCCCAGCCACATCATGGGACTAGCTGTGTGGTCTTGGGACAGTTGCAGCCCCTGAGGGCTCCTCCCAGACCATCCTGACTCTCTTGTGGCCACAGCAGCACCCACTGGGGCTTGGTGATTGTTGGGGGAAGAATTGTATCTTCCAGAAGAGACATACTGATGATGTAATCCCTGGCACCTGTGAATGGGAGCTTACTTGGAAACAGGGCCTTTGTGGATGAAATCTGATTCAGATGAGGCCACGAGGGATTAGGGCAGGCCCTAAGCCAATAACTGGTATCCCTAGAAGAAGAGGGAGAATTTGGGCAGAGACAGAAACAGGGACAAATTTCACACATGACAACAGAGGCAGGGACCGGAGTGCTGTGGCCACGAACCAAGGAGCACCTGGGGCCACAAGGAGCCAGGGGGGCGGGAGGGTTCTTCCCTTAGAGCCTTCAGAGGGAGTGCGGCCCTGCAGACCCCTGACTGCAGACTTCCAGCCTCCAGCACTCTGAACTGTTGTTGCTTCTTCCTTTTTTTGAGACAGAGTCTGTCACCCAGGCTGGAGTGCAGTAGTGCAATCTCTGCTCACTGTAACCTCCCTCTCCCAGGTCCAAGTGAGATGGAGCTCATCTCACTTAGCCTGCCTCAGCCTCCTGAGTAGCTGGGACTACAGGTGTGCGCCACCATGCCCAACTAATTTTTGTATTTTTAGTAGAGACAGGGTTGCTGTGTTGGCCAGGCTGGTCTTGAACTCCTGACCTCGTGATCCGCCTGCCTCAGCCTCCCAAAGTGCTGGGATTACGGGTGTGAGCAACCACACCCAGCTGTTGTTGCTTTAACTCAAGCATGGTGGGCACTTTGCTGGGGCAGCCCTGGCAAACAAACCCACCCCTCTCTGTGCCTTGCACATGGCAGGCAGTGGAAGCCAGGGCAACCCAGCTGGCAGATGCTTTTCCTGCCCCTTGGGAAACCCCAATGGGGCTGCATGGCTGGTTGGGGGGTCACAGCAGACAGTCCTGCTCCTGCCCACCGTGCGCCCCGAGCCTCTGTGTGTTGAGCATTCACTGGGCACCTCACCCTGCTGTCGTAATAATCTTGATGGATCCTCCAACAGCCCTATGAGGTAGGCGTGATTATTATCCCAATTTACACATGAGGAAACTGAGGCACGGGCAGTGGTTCATCCTGGAGCCTTAGTGCCGTCATCTGTGAACAAGGGAGACTCGAAGCCACAGGAAGCCAGAGGGATCGCCTGTCCAGTCCCTGTGTGATGGTCCAGTCACTCGTGTGGGCTCTTGGTGGCTTTAGAGGAGCAGGTGCAGGGATGGACACCTCACCTTGCAGCTCCCTGAGGCCAGCAGAAGCCCCAGGGTCAAGTCAAAGTTAGTTCTTCCACTCGCTCACACCTGCTGAGTGAATAGACAAAGTTCCAGGTTCACCCAGGCTCGCCAGCTCAGGGCCAGGCCAAGCTCAGTGCCAGCCGGGCACCATCAGAGCCCTGTGATGGGTACCCAGGGAGTGGGGACAAGGGCACTGGGCTGAGATCACCTTGATCCTTGAGCTCACTGTGCTGCAGCATCTGCCTCGGTTCAAGCTCAGTGCAGGATGAGACCGTGGGTCAGCTGAGTGCAAACCCTGCTGCCAGAGTGGCCCTGTCAGCGGCCGGCTTTGCATACCAGTGCTCACTCAGGGCCCTGCACGGGATGGGTGCTCACACGGGGCCATGTGGATGCAAGCCTTTCATCTGTTCTTCCCAATATCACCCAGTTGTCTTTAGCCACACAGACAGACGGGTGAGAGCACAGTGTTCCAAGTGGAATCCCGGACCAGCTTTTTTTTCGTTCCTTTTTTCCTAAAGTTCAAGCTGTCATGTCTCCTTTATGCTGCAGATTGGTGGAGTCTGGGGATGCTCTGGACCATGAAGGCCTGGGAGTCACGTGAGGGTGCCAGGGAGGGTGCCCGGAGAGCCTCACGCCCACAGGCCCATGACAGCCATCCAGGGGGACTCAAGCTCCTCTGTGCTCATCCCAGTGCACGTTGTGGGCATCCGTGGGCATGGATGGGCGGGCACAGGCGGGTGGTCACACTGCAGCCCCCTCTCTCCAGTTAGGGCCGCTCTAGTCCCAGATGCTTTAGGAAACCAGTGCCCTTGCCTGTTGCTCTCCCATACTTAGCACAGCACGGGCTACTGCAGCTCGTCTCCGGGTTGTTCTGAAACCGTTGCAGGAATGATGCACACTGTGGCTGACGGAGACTGTTCCCCCCGGCAGATCTTGTGCTGGGCTCGGACCATGGGTCATCTCATCTCACGGCATCCCTGCAAAGTGATTATAATGAACCCATGTGAAATGGGGGACATTGAGACACAAAAGAGCCACTTGCCTGGGGCCCCCTGCTGTGATGTGGTGGGGCGGGGGGGTGGGGTGCGGGCTGGGCATATTCCCTGTCCTCCACAACCCTTGTGGTTCATGGTCCATGTTCCCTGCCAGCTTGGACAGGGAGGAAGGGCGAACCCAAGGACAGCCGCATCTTCCCCAGGGCCTCCTGCACATGCCTGTTCCACACCCGGAGAGCACCGCGTGGACCTCTCTTGTCATCTGTTGTGAGGATGGACACGGAAACTCCCCTAGGAGTGCCTGGAGGCGGACGGGTGCCCTAAACGTTACCATCCCACAAGAGCTTTGTGAGCTGAATGGTGTAGGGATCCGGGACTATGGTTGCCCAGTCCTCAGTGGGGAAACCGAGTCCCAAGTGGTTCCCTAGAGTGGGAGCTGCCTGGCCACAGAGCAGCGCAGGTCTCTCTGACCATTTGGAGAGTTGCCATGTGCTCAGCCAAGCTTTCACAGCCCCCAGATCCTAGGGTGAGCTCCAAAAAGCGGCCTGCACCCTCCCAGCCTCCAGGTTCTGTCCCCGGTTTTGACTGGAGGTGCAGAGTCACAGCCAGGCCTTTTCCTCTGCTCCAGCCTGCTTGCCCCCTCTCCTTGGCCCCCTGCACCCACTCCACATGTCCTGCCTGTGAGTCACGTCCCCTTCTCCAGGGTCCTGCTGCTCCCACCGCCCAGCCTGCCCCCACTCTGGCCAGGTGGTCTCCGACATGGGCCCGTCCCAGCACTAGCCAGGTTTTAAATCTGATGCCGGATTCCCCTCCTCGAATGCGTTCTCCCCACTTGAAGCGCACAGAGCCTTGGGTCCCGCTTCATACAGGGCGCTTAGCGGCCGGCATTACTTAGGGTTGGCTATGTTTGGCCTTCCCAGAGGCCTTACTGTTGGGTTCATGTGTCTGGGCTTCGGAAAGGGCCCTTGAAACCCCACGACTGCCAGGATAGTTTTGTATGTTGGTCCTTTTTTCTTGAAAGAGGGCCCTTGATGCAGGAAACGGGGAGAGGCCACACCCTGGCGGTGTCCTTGGGGGCACGGAGCCTGCATGGCTGACTCTGGGAGGGGCCTGGGTCTGAGTGCGGCAGTACCTGCTGGTGAGGGGTCCAGAGGCTAACTATTAAAACTTCTGGAATCTTCTGAGGACTCAGCGGCTTATGGTGGGAAGCTTGAGGTTGGCTACGGTGGAGGTGCTTGTGCCACGGCACTCACAGATGCCACCTCAGGGCTCTTCTGTCCTGGACATCAGGCTTGCAGGCACTGTGGCCTGGGCTTCGAGCCAGATGGATGCCACTGACCCCCACTGCTGTCCAACTGTCTGTCCTTAGGCAGGTCATGTGACCTCTCAGACGCAGCCTTCACACCTGGGAAATGGGGGAGACTGCAGCATCTGCCTCAGGGGCTGCTGTGAAGACTCCATGAGAAGGAGCTGGCGGAGGGTGGCCCAGGCTGGTCCCCGCCTGCACTCAGGGCCCTGGGCGTGTGTTGCCCGGTGAGTGACGGACGGCGAGGCAGGTCCCTAACAGTGCCATGTCTCTCTTTCCAGGTGAATGCCACAGGCCGCCGGCTGCAGACAGCGGTACAGTACCGGGACCTCCCTGGCTTCTGTTCTGTAGGAGGGCTGCGGCCCCCACACTGTCAGAGCACTTTAGGCAGCTGAGCCTGTGATTTCAGAAGTGGGTAATGGATAACACAGCCCATCAATCAAACCAGAACCCCCTCGTAAACAGCCAGAGAAAAATTAGACACAACAAAAAAAGACCAGCCAGGAAAAGGTGCACCGGCTTCCCACTGGGCTTTGCCCACCACAGCCCCTGCAGAGATGTCCTCTCCATCCCTCCCCATGCCTGCCTGTCCCCGTCCCCACTCCAGTCCCCGCTGCAGTCACACATCCTGAATTTGGATCTTGCCCACATGCATTTCATGGTCACTGGCTCTGTGCCGGGCCCCTGCTGAGTCTGGGGTTCGGTGAGTCACCTCCCCCGCCGGGCCCCGATTTCCTCCTTGTGATAGGAGAAATGCCAAATGAATCTTGTGAGATGGCTTCAAAAGTGGCATGGGATCCAACCAATGTGGAGTGCTCAGGTCAGGGCTGAGGACCGGGCTCGTTCTCTGAAAGGGGCGAACATTTCATCGTCGCCTCCTGACAGATTTGGGCATCTGGTGTATTCTAAGTGGAGGCTTTTAAAAAATCAGAAAAAAAAAAATTCTGGGTACAAAGTCAATGACATATGTAACATGTCTATTTTATATTTTATTTATTTTATTTGTTTTTATTTTTAGAGATGGAGGTCTTGCTATGTTACCCAGGCTGGTCTCAAACTCCTGGCTTCAAGCGATCCTCCCATCTTGGCCTCCCAAAGTGCTGGGATTACAGGTGTGAGCTACCTTGCCCGGCTGTAAAATGTGGTGAGCAGGGCAATGTGAGGCAGAAATCCTGTCCTTTCTAGACTTTGACATGAGAAGTGGCAAAATGTCACGACTTGTCCCATGCAATGCCACATCTGGAAAGTCCAGCTGAGGAAAAGAGGAGAAGGCCGTCTGGGGCTGTGAGCCTGGAGCCAGCGGCTGCAGGGACACAGTCTGCTCCCGAGGGGCTGGAGGGCCCTGCTAGGCCAAGGAGGGCCTTAGAGATGGGGCATTTGGAGCTAAACAAACAGCTGTGATGAGGAAGCAGGAAGGTGCCCAGCGACAGTGAGGACCCTACCCCCCGCCTGGGCTTAAGGCATCCCTGCGAGCTGCAGAGCAGAGATGAGCCCGGCTGAGCTGCGTCTGTCATTATCCGCTTCTCATCCAAGTCCTGAGGCCCACCTGACCCATTAGGGTCCCCAAAGACACAAGACGCCTAAAGCAGGGTGCGTCTTTTGGGTCGTCTTTGTGCTGCGGCTGTGCCTCCCGGGTGGTTTGTGCCCGTCCCTGCCTAACGCAGCATCGGCTGGCTGCCTTCACGGGCCCTTGTGTGGCACAGCTGCTTTGCAGATGGAGATGCTGAGGCTCAGGGCAGCCTCTGCTGCAGCTCGCTTGCTAGTGGGTAGTTGAATCTGGTTGGTCTTGGGCGCCTTCTCTGGTCTCTCACAGTCTCTGATTCCTGCACAGTAACTGTTGTCCTGGTCCTCCCCTACCAGACTATGGGTGCCCCTTCCCTGCAGGCCCTGGCCCTGCGTGGGGTCCCCTTCGTAAATGTCTGACGCGTGACGGTCAGGGCCATTGCAGGAGGGACTGACATGCCGACCCTGCCTCCCCAGTCACCTGCGTGGACCTGCAGCTCAGGACCTGCAGCGATGCCGCCTACAACCATACCACCTTCCCCACCCTGCTACAGCACCGGTCGTGGGAGGTGGTGGAGGCCAGCTCCGAGTACATCCTGCTGAGTGTTCTACACCAGCTCCTGGAGGGCCAGTGCAACCCAGACCTGCGGCTGCTGGGCTGTGCTGTGCTGGCCCCCCGGTGTGAGGGCGGCCGGGTGCGCAGACCCTGCCGGCACATCTGCGAGGGCCTGCGGGAGGCCTGCCAGCCCGCCTTCGACGCCATCGACATGGCCTGGCCCTACTTTCTCGACTGCCACCTCTACTTCACGAGTGAGGATGAGGGCTGCTACGACCCACTGGAGAAGCTTCGGGGTAAGGGAAGGCGGCGGGGGCTATCCATGTGTTCACAGGGTCCAGGTGGTCATGGAGGACCAAGAGCCACACTGGAAGGAACTTGAAGTCTTTTCCATCAATGGCGACAGTGCAGGCATTGGTAGAGGGCGGGGCTGCTCCCCAGGGCAGCACGTTCCCCACAAAGGGATGCCAGGCAGGGTTGGGGACTCAGTGCAGATGGAGGATCCTCTCGCCACCTAGGGCCCCCCAGCAGAAGCCTCCAGCCCTTAGGGGCAGGCTGGGGTGGAAGGGTGCTGAGTCCAAGTGGTGGCAGTGCCCCTGCCCAGGGTGCAATCAGGAGGCCTCATGTCAGGGAGCCTGGGCTCAGAGTGCAGGGCTGGCCCCGGGGGTCCAGTTCTTGGCCACAGACCCTCCAGAACAGCAGTACTTACCCCTGGTCGAGGGTGGGCAGGACATTTACTTCCCCCGGGAGACCTGGCGGGCAAAGCTTCATGATTGCCCATTGCTGGGCCTGGAAGATCACACAGAGGGTTTGGCCTGGAGTGACTCCTCCAGCAGGTCTGTGCTCAAGGACGGAGAGGAGCTGTGGAGAAAGGCTTTGCTGTCTCTTGCAGATAAAACAGTGGAGGGGGAGTGGGCAAGCCTGGGCCACCATGGGCCACTTGTCTCTGAGGTGTGCAAGGCTGTCCCAGAGGGCCACTTGGCGGTGGGGCTGGTGGGGGCCCTGCATGGAGCCCCCTATGTCTGTTGTCTCACGAGTCGGTGTCCACCAGAGACCTTGCATGGTCCGCAGCAGCCTTGGCCCGTTAGACCTTCCTGTGTGAAAGAAATGTTCTATTCTGTGCTGTCCAAGACGGTCACCACTGGCCGCATGTGGTCCCCAAGGCTTGGGATGTGGCTCTTGCCACTGAGGCCTGGACATGGGCATCTCATCGCATTTGAATGAGTCTGAACATGCCTTTGAAGAGCCCAGGGCCAGTGTGTGCCACTTTCAGCTGCGCAGGGCAGCGTCCGCTCGTGGTTAGATTCACAGGATCTGACTGCGGGCGCCACACATGTGCTGGCTCATGCGAGTCTCACGGCAGCCTTGCTCCATGGAAGAGGAAGCAGAGCCTCGGGAAGGGTGACAGCGGTGGGGTCCTTAGCTGGAGTGGCCCAAGCCCATTGCAGATGGAGGGATGGATTTGGCCATTCATCAAACAGCTACCGAGCACCCACTGTACATATGGCTCTGTGCTGGGACATTGAGGAGTGCAGGAGAAGGAAAGCAGACACACACCTGGGCCAGGCTGCAGCAAGCCCTGGGTTGTGGGCTGTGTCAGGCGCTCAGGGCTGATCCTGGCACGTCTTGCATCCTCTGGTTCCCAGTCTGAGAAGGGCGGACTCTGTCCACCCTGGGCTTCCATGCAGATGCGGTGGCAGGGTGCCCTTTGCCAGCAGGTGGGAGCCGTCTGTCTGCAGAGCTCAGTCCCTGCAGAGGCGGTGGAGGTGCCTGTGGGAGGCCAGGGAGGCGAGGGAGGAAGCCAAGCCCACAGCCCTGGGAAAGCCCAAGGAGTCAGTTTGGGATTATTTTGGGCATCTCTGCCGCCAAATTGCCGGCTTCCTCTGCTAGTCTCTCCCCTGGAGAACCGTTTTGAGCAGAAGCAAAACCACAGGGTGAGGAGAAACTTAGAGAAGCACATTAACTCTTTGTGGACCCAGGAACAGCCTGCGGCACCTGCGTCCTGCTCCTGTGGGCCTGGCTGCTGCAAAGCCCCTGGCGGGATGCAGGGAGTTGAGGGTCACCGGGGTGGTCTTCGGGATGCCTCTATTCTAGTGGATGACAGGATGGTGAGGAAGCTCGTGCATATGTGACATAGAGACATTCGTATTCTGGATCCAGAACCACTCCCTCTTCCCCCCACCCCCTTTTTTCTTCCTCCCCGACGTCCTTCCCAGAACCTCCCTTTCTGTTTCCTTCCCGGGCTGGTGCTCACTGCTGTGCTGGTGAGGCTGTAACAGAAACACTGGGAAGCCTTACAGCAGCCGGAGGGGGCACCACAAGGCGGCTTCCTGTTTCCACCATTGGCCAAGCAAACGGAGCAGAATACTGAGCTGCCCGAGTGCCACTGTCCTGGAAAACACACCCAGGAGAAGCCCCTCTGCACACCCAGCAGGGGTTTGCCCTGGGGGGTCCAGGACTCCATAGATCTCTTTTCCTTTCTGTTGTCCTGCTCTGTATTTTAGGAACTTCCCACAGTGGCCCCACAGTACGTGTATTCAGTCACATTATTCGGTCAGGAACCATGACGCTGTGCTGTGTACATACCTCGGGTGCCATTTGGCTTGGATATCGCTGTAGGCACTGCAGAGGGAACTCGAATTAAAGACAGAGGTGTCCAAGCATGGCTGTCATGCAGAGGGGGCTAAGGGTGCCATGCGTGGTCAGTGTTCCCAGGCAGTGGTAGGAAGCCTCGGGGCCTGACACTGACCGAGCCCCCCCACTGCTCCCCCAGGAGGCCTGGAGGCTGACGAGGCGCTGCCCTCGGGGCTGCCGCCCACCTTCATCCGCTTCAGCCACCACTCCTACGCCCAGATGGTACGTGTGCTGAGGCGGACAGCCTTCCGCTGCGCCCACGTGGCCAGGACCTACAGCATCGGGCGCAGCTTCGACGGCAGGGAGCTGCTGGTCATCGAGTTCTCCAGCCGCCCTGGCCAGCACGAGCTGAGTGAGTGCCCTTGGGAGGGCCTGGCCTGGCCCCGCTTCGGGAAAGGGCTCGGGCTGCTCCACTTTGGGGCGCACAAGTTGGCTGGGTGTTTGGGGTCTGGGCACAGCTGGGGGCCTCAGGGAGCTGCTTGGTGCAGGCCACGTCCCACTGGGCATGTGCAACCACTGTATGTATAAAGGAGAATTTCTCCAGATATCCACCTTACTTCAAAATTTAGGGTGGCAGACTAGGTTATTTGATAATAATGGAGACATTGATCCAGTGGCCGAAAAGACATAAAACAAACAAGAAATTTTATTTTATTTTTTAGAGACAGAGTTTCACTCTTGTTGCCCAGGCTGGAGTGCAGTGGCGCGATCTCGGCTCACTGCAACCTCTGCCTTCTGGGTTCAAGTAATTCTCCTGCCTCAGCCTCCTGAGTAGCTGGGACTCCAGGTACGGGCCACCACACCAGGCCAATTTTTGTATTTTTAGTAGAGATGGGATTTCACCATGTTGGCCAGGCTGGTCTTGAACTCCTGACCTCAAGTGATCCACCCACCTCGGCCTCCCAAAGTGCTGGGATTATAGACGTGAGCCACTGTGCCTGGCCAAACAATAACTTTTAGACAGAAAAGATGATGTTGGGATGTGGGCTTGCAGGGAGATAGTAAGGTTGTCTGGGAGTCGCCTGGGAGGCTGGAGGGAGGAGGGCACCATTCTGGCATGTCACAGGCATAAGTCAGGGAGGAGCAAAACAAAGGCTATAGGAGTGCCGGGCCCTTCTGCACTTAGGCGTCTGTGGCCATGTGCTGCATTTTTGCCATTTGAAGACCTTGTCCTGGCACACTGGACCCCAGGCAGGTCTGTACAACCCTTGTCCCTGGGCACCGGCCTCTCCTTTTCCAAACCGCTCCAGGAGTGTGACACCACAGAATGCTATGAATAAAGAGATTTTTCTATTTTAAAAATCCAAGTCCGTTTTCATTCCATCAGGCTTTGGATCCTGTTCTGAAGCGGGAGCGGGCAGCATGGAAAATGCTAGGCATTTCTGTTCCTTCAGGGGGTCTTCCTGCAGGGCAAATTAGGAAATCAAATTTTATTGCTGTTGTGATTTGCTACCCTAAGTTGCAAAGAGTCACTCAGGCTGGTGGTGTCTAAGAATCTAGGATGTTCTAGCAAACACCCAGACCTTCTGGATGGGTGGCCTCTCTTTCCTGCGTGTGGAGGTCCCCCTCTCCCAGGGCACTGAGGACATTCAGGGTTGGAGTCCAGGGCTTCCTAGGGGTCAGTGAGTCTGAGTCCTGCCTGGGCCTCAGCCCCCAGCCACACCTGTCTCACGAGCACATTACTCAAACAGAATCAATTATTTTAGAAGCAGCCTCCATTTGACCCTTCGTCCCCAGCAGTTACTGAAAAATGTACCTGCTCTTTGTTTGTGGACTCAGGGGCCTTTTCAGGGCTGGCAGCCTCAGCCAGTCTTCATCCTACTGGCCTGGGCAGCATGGACACCATGAACCCAAGGGCTCTATCTCTTACCAGGGACCAGTGGCCACCTGGCCACACCCTGGCCCCCAAGGCTCACTATGTTCCCCCTTCAACTGTAACATGCTCTGGGCAGGAGGCAGAGGCTCTCCCTACAGCACTGGAATTTGAGGGCAAGAGGTGCCCCTGTGCAGAAGGCCAAGGGAGGTGACCAGCGCAGAAAGCTCCCAGGTCATTTACACCCCGACATGTGGCATCTGAGGAATGTGGGTGTTTCCTCTCATCCCTGGACATCCCTGGGCCACACACAGCTGGGGAGGGAGACGTCCTTTTCCAGGGGAGCAATGCGAGGCTTAGAGAGAAGTGACTTGCCTGTAGTCACACAACTAGTAAGGCCATGGGACCTGGTCCACTCTTCTTCCTATAGTCCATTCATCCATCCATCCATCCATCCATCCATCCATCCATCCATCCATCCATTTATGCATCCGTCCATGAATCCATCCACCCATCCATCCATTTATTCATTCAGCCATTACACATCCATCCATCATCCACCCATTCACTCATACATCCATGCATCCATCCACTCATCATCCATCCATCCATCCATGTATTTATTCAGCCATTTCACATCCATCTATTCATCTATTCATTCATGCATCAATTTATCCATTATTTCATCCAGCCATTATTCACTCATCCATCCATCACTGATTTATCCATCTATCCATTCATCCATCATCGATATATCTATCCATCCAGCCATCCATCCATCATCTATTCATCCATTCATCCATCCATTTATGCATCTGTCCATTCATCCATCCATCCATTTATTCATTCAGCTATTACACATCCATCCATCATCCACCCATTCATTCATACATCCATGCATCTATCCACTCATCATCCATCCATCCATTTATTTATTCAGCCATTTCACATACATCCATTCATCTATTCATTCATGCATCAACTTAGCCATTATTTCATCCAGCCATTACTCATCCATCCATCCATCATTGATCTATCCATCTATCCATTCATCCATCATTGATCTATCCATCTATCCATCCATCCATCATTGATATATCTATCCATCCACCCATCCATCCATCATCTATTCATCCATCCATCCATCCAGTCATTATTCATCTATCCATCCATCCATCATTGATATATCTATCCATCCATCCATCCATCCATCCATCCATCCATCCATCATTGATTCATCCATTCATCCATCCATCCATCCATCCATCCATCCATCCATCACCCATCCATCCATTCACCCATCCATTCATCCACTCAAGGGCCAACCACCTTCCCAGCTAAGCACCAATGTATACCTTGATTTATTACACAAACATGAAGAGAGACCATCAATGAAATTTGCATGGATCAATGATAACATATATTATTCATATTCGTGAGTTATGCTAACTAATAATTATGGCTAGGTGTAAAAAACGAGCTTAACAAAAGTGATGACCTTGATGAGACCTCATTATATACAGAGATTCCTGAGTTAAAACAAGTGTGAATTGGTCCCAGCCCATCTGGTCATCCTTGCTGAGTGGGGGGCCTCATGCCTTTGGGGACCCCAGGCTTTGAGATGATGCCCCAAGTCTCTGTATTTGTCCCCAGTGGAGCCCGAGGTGAAGCTCATTGGCAACATTCACGGCAACGAGGTGGCAGGCCGGGAGATGCTCATCTACCTAGCCCAGTACCTGTGCTCTGAGTACCTGCTGGGCAACCCCCGCATCCAGCGCCTGCTCAACACCACCCGCATCCACCTGCTGCCCTCCATGAACCCCGACGGCTACGAGGTGGCAGCCGCCGAGGTGAGCGCCCAGATGCCTGGATCCTGTGGGCCACCACCCGAACCACCCCCTCGTTCATTCATGTACAAGTAGTTTATCTTAGCAGTGCTTAGCTCCCGCCTCTCTAGGACAGGAGCATTCAGTAGATATGGACACTGGAAAACCCCTGCTTCAGGGGCTGGTGAGAGGGAAGCCACTGAGAATTCTAGGTGTATTAAAAAGGTGATGCGTGTGATAGAGGAAAATGGTGGATAGGGAGTGGATGGTGCCTGTGTGCGTCAGCGGTGGCCAGGGGAGCTCTCGGGGAGGTGGGTAACAAGCAGAGCAGGTCACTGGCGGGGGTGTCCCACTCAGGGGGAGCAGCCAGGAAGGGCCCCAAGACTATGGCATCAGCAAGGAACCCCAGGGAGGGAGCCCCAGGGTAGAGAGGAGGTCAAGGGTCAGGCGCACCCCCGAGCTCATCACATAAAGCCGCGAAAAACGAAGCCCCTGGCCTTGACCCTCAGCCCAGTGTGAGACCCATCTGGAAGGAGGAGGGTGGGGTGTGCTGACCCCACCCAGTCGGGGGTTGGCCGTGTTTTCAGGGTGCCGGCTACAATGGGTGGACGAGCGGGAGGCAGAACGCGCAGAACCTGGATCTGAACCGAAATTTCCCGGACCTGACCTCGGAGTACTACCGGCTGGCGGAGACCCGCGGCGCGCGCAGCGACCACATCCCCATCCCCCAGCACTACTGGTGGGGTAAGGTAGGAGCCGCCGCTGCCCATGCCTGTCACCACCAAAGGCATCCAAGGGTCCCTGGTTATTCCAGGCTCTCCGGAGTTGTCCTTCCCCGGGGAAAAGGAGAGCCTGGTGCTCCCTCCCTGCCTCAGTTACCTGTCAGTGAAATGGGAACACCTCCTTGCTGGGGTGTTGGTGAGATTGCAGAGATTCATGTTGGAAATGCCGAGATCCCCGCAGGGGCCCAGTGATGGGGGCCAAGTCCAGCTGGAGCATCGGTGTAGAGACCGGTCGTTAATGGTCTGCACCATTGGAGCCCAGAGGGCTGCAGAAGCCCGGGGCATGGCTAGGGGCCGGCAGGGAAACCCAGACCTGAGGGCGGCCTCCTCTGTCCTGGGCAGGTGGCCCCGGAGACGAAGGCAATCATGAAGTGGATGCAGACCATACCCTTCGTGCTCTCCGCCAGCCTTCATGGGGGCGACCTGGTGGTGTCCTACCCCTTCGACTTCTCCAAGCACCCCCAGGAGGATAAGATGTTTTCTCCCACGCCCGATGAGAAGGTGAGAGGGCTGCGGGGTGTGTGAAGGGGAGGGAGACGGTGTGCGCGGTCCCCTTGGAGCTGGTGCCCCTCCAGTCCTGAGCTCAGTGAGGACAAAGCTCCTAGGAAACTCCGCTCAGAGCCCGTCAGCACCACCCGCTCTAGGCCCAGCTCTGCAGAGAAGCCCCCTCCTCCTGGAAATCTGCGATCTCAGGAGCCGTCGCTCCCCTGGTCTCCCCAAGGCTGGCTGCACTGCCTTTCACATGTCCCTATCTGGGAGCTCCTGGGGTGGGGGCCCTGGCTCAGTGCCGCTGTTGCTCTGAGCTGCGCCCTGCACCTGGAGGGGTCCCCAGTGCGTTCCACCGCAGGGGGTGCGTTTCCGGGAAGCGCCGGCAGAGGGCAGTGCTGCAGCGCGCATGGTGCCCGCCCGTCCTGCTTCCGGGGGTCCTGCTTGCTTCTCTCGCGCTGGGCTCCTCCGGATGGGGAAGGAGTTCTGGTCCCACCGTCCACTGGGCCCTTAGGTGAGGCCCTCCCTTTTCTGGGCCTCGGTTTCTCCTACTGTTCGTAGAGCAGCCAGCGATGAGACCCGTGATGATGCTGGGACCCTCCCCACCCACCCTAACCTTGGGACGACTTGCAGGGGGAGGGCGTGGACTTGGTCCCTTCCCACGCTGTGGATGAAAAAACGGAGGCTGAGGGAGGGGTTGTGATCTGAGGTGGGCCCCAGTCTCCAGCTTCCAGCCCCCAGCTGCGGATCCTGGAGCTTAGCTGCCTGCACTGCCCCTCACTAGGGGGCACTGCCCACTCCACCGGAGGCCGGGCCTGCCCTCCACCTGGTCCCTTGATGGCCCAGAGTCACTCCCCAGGCCTCCCGTGGAGAGCCAGGCCTACCCTCCACCTCCTTCGGGCACTTTCCCTTGGTGTTTGGGGGAAGGGACAGGGAGAGAGGGACTGGCCCTGGGTGGGCAAGTGCCAGGTGCCAGGCCCCGATAGTGGCATTCACATGTCGTTTGTTCTCCTTTCTGAGGCCACCTGGCTGGGCACATAGCTGGGCCCGCGGTTGGCACTCAGATATCAACCCTGCCTCACCCGGCCCCTCCCTGTCCTGGGGCCATCATTGGAAATGCAATGGTACTGGTCCCTGCGCTGGGGGTCCTCAGCCTAGGGTGGGAGATGGAGCCTGAAACTGGCAAGGAGAAGATTGCCAGGGCTGCAGGAGGGCTGTGAGTGCGCATGTGTGCATGGATGCCTGTGTGTGCGTGTGCGTGCATGTGCACACCTGCATGTGTCACAGGGGGAACCCCCAGCCTAGTCTGGGACTTCAGGAGGGCTTCCCTGAGGCGGTGGTTTCCCAAAAGGACCCCACAGATGAGGTGGAGATTTCCAGCTGCGGGGCAGGGAGGGGAACTGGAGGCACAGGCCTGGTGCAGAGACCCAGGGGAGCCCCAGGGAGCCGGGTGCAGGGAATGCTGTGGCCCAGCGGGAATGGGGAGAGCAAGCTGAGCACCCTGCGGACCAGGGGCAGTGACAGCAACACCTGGGCTACTGGCACATTTGTCCTGCATTCTCCCACCCATTCACGCCTTCACTGGTTTATCATTCACTAACTCACTCCCTCACTCACCCATTCACTCACTCCCTCACTCGCTCATTCACTCACCCATTCAGTCACTCACCCATTCACTCACTGACTCACCCATTCATTCATGCACTCACTCCCTCCCTCACTCCCTCACTCATTCATTCACCCATTCAATCACTCACTAACCACCCATTCACTCACTCACTCATTCATTCACCCATTCACTCACTCATTCATTCACCCATTCACTCACTCATTCACTCACCCATTCACTCACTCACTCATTCACTTACTCATTCACTCACCCATTCACTCACATTCACTCACCCATTCACTCACTCATTCACTCACCCATTCACTCACTTGCTCACACTCATTCACTCACTCACACTCACTCATTCACTCACTCACTCACTCACTCACTCATTCACTCAACCACTCATTCATTCACTCATTCACTCACTCAACCACTCATTCAACCACTCACTCAACCACTCACTCACTCATTCACCCATTTACTCACTCATTCCCTCACTCATTCACTCATCCATTCACTCATTCATTTACTCACCCACTCACTCATTCACTCCCTCATTCACTCACTCATTCACTCACTCACTCATTCACTCACCCATTCACTCACTCATTTTCTCATTAACTCACCCATTCACTCACTCATCCATTCTCTCACTCCGTCACTCACTCATTCACTCACCCATTCACTCACGCATTCACTCACTCCCTCACTCATTCACTTACTTATTCACTCACTCATTCACTCATTAACCCACTCATTCACTCACTCCCTCACTCACTCCCTCACTCATTCCCTCACTCATTTACTCATTCACTCATTCATTCATTCACTCATTCACTCATTCACTTACTCATTCACTCATTCATTCATTCATTCAGTCACTCACCTATTCACTTATTAACTCACTCATTTACTCATCACTCACTCATTCTCTTATTCATTCACTCATTCACACACTCATTTTCTCATTCATTCATTCACTCATTCTGTCACTCATTCACTCATTCATTCAGTCATTCACTCATGCACTCATTTACTCACTTATTCACTCACTCATTCACTCACTCATTTACTCATCACTCATTCACTCATTTACTCATCGCTCACTCATTTGCTCATCGCTCACTCATTCTCTCATTCATTCACTCACACAGTCATTCACTCACTCTTATTCTTTCACTCATTTGTTTATTCCCACACTCCCTCCCTCACTCATTCATTCATTGACGCTTGCAGGCAGTGCACACCAAGGGTGCAAGGGGTGAGGTGTCTGGTTCTCTGCTTGGACCTCTGCAAGTGCCCCCAGGGGTGACTGGGTGGCCTCCACTTCTGGCCTGGCCTTGCGCCCCTATGCTCTTGGGGGCAATGGCTGGGTAGGGCAGGTATCCCCCTCTGCACAGGCCCAGTGTCTCTCAGCCTTAGAACCAGATGTGAGAAGATGTCCCCAGGGGGAATGTTCACCCCAAAGAGTCCCATCAGAGCCAGAGAAAATGAGACTGTTCCCAAGCCATCAGTCATCGGGCAGTGATCATACAGTCCTGCAGCCAGCAGTGATCTCTGGAAACCAGGGTCCCAGGAGGGGCCTGGGGTTGGCCGAGGAGCATGAGATGGGCTGGCTGGGGTATGCCAAGGTACGCTTTCGCCAAACTTCCATGGTGCCCTACAGACGAGAGCCAGCGCCTGGGGGCAGTGTTCAAGGCCCTGCAGGCTGGCCATGGCTGCTTCTCACCGCTCCACACCTGCCCCTCTGCCCAAATCCTGCTCACACTCTATCCTGCCTGCCAAGCCCTTTTTGGCTCTGCCTATGATCACTGTGGGAATCAGCATAGCCAGTTTCCCAAGGGCTTCCTAGGGGCAGGAGCTGGGTGGGCTGGGTTTCCCATGGTCCTCAGCCTGTGTTCCTGTGTCCCCATTCAGTCGAGGCTTCCCCGCTCCTACCTGGTTTCATTTATCTGTGTGTCTTCCTTGCCCATGTGTGCCCAGCCTCTGGACCGACAGCTCTTCTGATGTCCTTGTCCTGCACCTGCCCTCCCAGGTCAGGCCTGTCTTAGCCAGACCTCAGCTCCGGCACCCCAGGGTTTTGGGGACTGGTGGTCGGCAGCCACCCTCCATGCCTTAGCCCTAGAGACTGACTAGTGATGGGAGGGAGGCCCCAGGCAAGGGTGGGGAGGAGGGACTGTAGGGCAGGAGGCCTTGTGGGGAGAAAGGGTGACATGGTGGGCAGATAGAATGTAGCAGGCGTGTCCTGGGCAGATGGACCCTTTGTTGGGCGTGATTCGTTCTTGATGGGAAAGTCCAGTGAGGCTTCCCGCTATAAGGCGGGGCAGGCAACTCCCGAGCTGATGCTGGTCCCACCCACAGGTGCAGGGGCTGCTGGTAGGATAGTGGTCCATGGTCCGCTACCCTGGAACCATAGGGCCTGAGTGGGGTTGTGTTTGGGCCCTTGGTTTGTATCTGTGGGACTGAGTCCAGATGGCACAGCCTCACTTCTGAGGAGCTGAACCCATTCCCTGCCTCCCCCAAATCCCATGTCTGGGAGTCCGAGTCGCATGACTCCCACCAGGGAGAGATCTTCACTCTGACCTGGAGCACTCACTCATTCACTCATTCGCTCACTCACTCAGTCAGTCACTCACTCACTTATTCACTCATTCACTCAGTCACTCACTCCTTCACTCACTTATTCAGTCACTCACTCATTCACTCATTCATTCACTCATTCACTCACTCACTCATTCACTTATTCACTCAGTCATTCACTCACTGTTTCACCTGCTCATTCACTCACTCATTCACTCATTTACTCATTTATTCACTCATTCACTTACTCACTCATTCACTCACTCATTCACTCATTCATTCACTCACTCATTCACTCAACCACTCACTCATTCACTCATTCACTCACTCATTCACTCAACCACTCATTCACTCAACCACTCACTCATTCACTCATTCACTCACTCATTCAATCATTCGCTCAGTCACTCATGCATTCACTGACTTATTCACTCACTGTTCACTCACTTATTCACTCATTCACTTACTCAGTCACTCATTCACTCACTCATTCACTCACTCACTCACTCATTCACTCATTCACTCAACCACTCACTCATTCACTCATTCACTCATTCACTCACTCACTCACTCAACCACTCATTCACTCAACCACTCATTCACTCATTCACTCACTGATTCAATCATTCGCTCAGTCACTCATTCATTCACTCACTTATTCACTCACTCTTCACTCACTTATTCACTCACCCATTCACTCACTCATTCACTCACTCATTCACTCACTCGTTCATTCATTCACTTACCCATTCATTCACTCACTCTCTCATTCACTCACTTATTTACTCACTCAGTCACTCATTCCTTCACCCACTCACTCATTCACTCATTCACTCACTCACTCACTCACTCACTCACTCACTCTCTCACTGGGCCCGGCCCGTCCACCCTCCAGTGTCCTCCACTCCTCCTCAGCACAGACTTGTCCTCCATGGTGGGGCCCTGATGAGCCCATGCAGGGGGAGCCCTTCGCCTGCCTGACCCACCAAGAGCCTCTGCCCAGGGTCAGCTTGGGACTTACAGATGGCCGAGAACCCCCACAAAGGAGGACCTGTGGATTCTGCCTGGGGGATGAGCACAATGTGGGGAAGCTCTGGGCCGGGAAGGGAGGCCTGTGGGGAGGGACCCAGGATCCCAGCCACACATCCAAACATGTCAGGGGTGGCAGGTCCTATGAGCTGCGTTCTATCCTTCTACCGACTGCAGTAGAAGCTGGAGGGTGGGGTGATCAGGGAGGGGCTTCCCACAGGCTGAGTCCCAGCCTCTGATGGTGCTGGTCAGCCTGGAGTTGGAGCGGGATGGGGAATGAATCTATTATTATTCTTAGAAGAAGTTCGCTTTGGAGATGAAGTGGGGGAAATACAGCCCACCCCAGCCTTCATTGCGCCAACAGCCCAGGCTTTATAAACTGTCAGGCCAACCTACACATACCCTGTGGACACCATGCTTGTGTGTAACCTCAGGAGAGAAAGGCCTCACTACCCGGCCAGGTGGGCAGAGGCTCAGCGATTACCCCAGATACCCAGGGGACCTGGCCCTGAAGTCCAGCAGTGCCAGACTGCCTGTGACCCACCTCCAGGCCTTCACATACACTGTGTCCTCTGCGGGACACCGTTCCCCTCTCCTATCTCCGATCCCCTCCCTGACCCCAGCTCGCAGGACGTCCTGCAGGGGACCCTTTCCTCATCGGAGCCAGGTCTCTTTTCCAGATGTTCAAGCTGCTGTCCAGAGCCTATGCTGACGTCCACCCCATGATGATGGACAGGTCGGAGAACAGGTGTGGAGGCAACTTCCTGAAGAGGGGGAGCATCATCAATGGGGCGGACTGGTACAGCTTCACAGGAGGTGCGACTTCTGCGGGGAGGGGCTGGGGTGGGAGTCGGGGAGTGCAGAGGCTGGATGGGGCGGGGCTGGGGAGGGTGGGGGTGTGGAGGCTGGGTGGGGCGGGGGCAGGGCCTAACTCCAAGGTCTGCTGCTGGGATCCAGTTGGAGACCCTGGAAAACAGGGCGGTGCCTCGCCTGATGGAGAGGAGGCTGGCTTGAGTTTTGGTTTCTGTCTTGATGAAAAGCTGTTGTGTGACTGCTGTGGAGGCCCCAGGCCCGCGGCTTCCGTAGTTTATTTATGAACACTTACATTTGACGGTTCTACCCATGACCAAGCCTTTTGTGACTTTTAGGGAAGTGGAGCTGCCAGATGAAACGCTGGACTTCCAGTTAAACTGGAATTCCCGAGACAGTGAGGAATTGTTTTTAGGACAATATAAGGACGTTCCAATGCATGGGATACGCTTACGAGAACCCGCATGGGGTGGACTCATACTACAATTGTATCTGTGGTTCCTCTGGAGCCTGACTTTCAGCGTGTGCATTTTTATCTGCTAAATTTGCCCTGGGGGAGGCTGCACGAGAGCAATATAATGGGCACATGCCACTGTGTGTCCTGAGGGGCACCCGCCAGACTAGGCACACACGCTCTGGGCCCTGCCTGCACCCCTCCTTGCCAGCACAACACAGATGAGAGCACTGGGCTCAGCTGAGAGAAGGACTTGCTGGAGGCCCAGGGCCACAGGTGGCAGAGCTGGGACCCATGTGGCATCCCTTCTGCCCCTTCCTCCCATGCAGGCGGGCAGAGAAGGTGGCACTTCTTGCACACTCTGAAGCCACCTTCACAGCCTGGTCTGAAAACCTTTCTCTCCTGCTCAATGATTGGCACCTGTGATCTTTCCCTGGTGCGGAGCAGTCTCTTTCCCTTCCAGAACCCAGACAGAGGGCCCTGAACCCCGGTCATAGCCCTGTGACTGGGGTCTGCAACAGACACCCAGGAGCTGAGCTGGGAGAGGCCCCTCTCTGTCCCCTTTTTTTTTTTTTGAGATGAAGTCTCACTCTATCACCCAGGCTGGAGTGCAGTGGCGCGATCTCGGCTCACTGCAATCTCTGCCTCCTGGGTTCAAGCGATTCTCCTGCCTCAGCCTCCCGAGTAGCTGGGATTATAGGTGTGCACCACCACACCCAGCTAATTTTTGTATTTTTAGCAGAGACGGGGTTTCACCATGTTGGCCAGGATGGTCTCGATCTCCTGACCTCCTGATCATCCCGCCTTGGCCTCCCAGAGTGCTGGGATTATAAGCGTGAGCCACTGTGCGTGGCCTCTGTCCCCTCTTGCACCTGACACGGCCCTGGGAAAGCATGAGGCCAGGGACCAGAGCTAGCTGGACCACAGGGACAGTGACTGTGGCTACACTGGGATCTGGGCAGGGACTGTCAACAGCAGCTGCAGGGTCTGCGGCTCAGGAGCCTTGAACTTCGGAAGGGCTCCCTGCAACTCCCTGTGGGTGCCATCGCCCTAGGCCTGCCTTGGAGATGGTCATGGCTTCTGCTGAACGAGAAACTCCAAAAGCAGGTGGCACAGAGGGCAGAAGCGGGTGCAACCGGGGTAGGCCCAACTTCCTCTGAGGCCTTCTCGGCTGGCCAGGTGGCTAGTTGTCCACCCTAGCCCGGGCCTGTGGTCTCTCTGGGAGATGGAGCTAATAGGATCGCCCTCCTAGACTCTTGTCAGGACAGCGTCTGGGTCAATGGACATTGTCACCATGGGGCCTCCAGGCCAGCAGCTGGGATGGCAGGGGCCTGTGTGGCTGCCTCGTGCTGTGGGCTTCTCTGTTAGAAACCGATTCATCCCCGACCTCACCAGAGACAGCACGGGGGTGGGGAAGCCTGTGAACTTTGCCGCCAAGCTGCCTGGGCTCAAGATGCCGCTCTGCCCCTCCCTGTAATATCCCAGGCCTCCATCTGCACATCTGCGAAGTGGGGATCATATGGCCCACCTCACAGTTGTTCAGCCCCTCAGCCGTAGGAGGGGCATCTGTTGCCAAGCACCTGCTGCACTCACCTGCCTGCTGGGCGCTCGGCCGACGCCTCCGACCTCCCGGCTGTCTCTGTGCCACAGGCATGTCCGACTTCAACTATCTGCACACCAACTGCTTTGAGATCACAGTGGAGCTGGGCTGTGTGAAGTTCCCCCCCGAGGAGGCCCTGTACACGCTCTGGCAGCACAACAAGGAGTCACTCCTGAATTTCGTGGAGACGGTGAGTTCTGACGGTCTCCAGGCTCTGGCCCAGCTGGGGCCTGGGTGGGGTGGGTCAGATTCGGGCCCCCAGGGCGGCCCCAGCAGCTCACTGCCCCTGCATGCTCACTGCATGCTCCTCTCGCCGCCACTTGTTTGGGGTTCACTGTCCACCATGTGCAACTTGAGATGCAGCAGCCGGCGCTCCTCTGCGTGCCCTGTGGGTGCTGGGGCGGCAGTGCCATGTGTTGGAGTCCCTGTAGCAAGGATGTCACGATCTAAAGCAGCACAGTTAAACAAGGGAGCACGGGCCTGGGCAGCCCGGTGAGGCGTCTGACCCAGCCTCGGAGGCCGGGGGGCTTCCTGGAGGCGGCCGCACGGCTTCATCTTGAAGAAGGGTAGGAGACATCAAACCACAGGACAGGGAGAGCTGGCAGCAGAGGGGAGCATACTAGAACCCCATGGGGCCTTTGAAACCCTCGAGGGCCGCTGGGGCTGTGGTAAGGACTGGAGCCGTGGGATGGGGCTGTGGTGAGGACTGGAGCCGTGGGATGGGGCTGTGGTGAGGACTGGAGCCGTGGGATGGGGCTGTGGTGGGGACTGGAGCCGTGGGATGGGGCTGTGGTGGGGACTGGAGCCGTGGGATGGGGCTGTGGTGGGGACTGGAGCCGTGGGATGGGGCTGTGGTGGGGACTGGAGCCGTGGGATGGGGCTGTGGTGGGGACTGGAGCCGTGGGATGGGGCTGTGGTGGGGACTGGAGCCGTGGGATGGGGCTGTGGTGGGGACTGGAGTCGTGGGATGGGGCTGTGGTGGGGACTGGAGCCGTGGGATGGGGCGGGCACTGCGCTCCAGGAGGCGCGGGAGTGAGGGCTCTGGGCAGTGGGGTAGCTGTGTGGCTCAGGCAGGGCTTTGGGGCCTCAGAGGGGAGGGTACAGGCAGGGAGTGGCTGGCAGAGGCTGGGGGCAGGGCACGGCGGCCTAAGGGGTGACTACTATCGTGAGGCTGAGGTCACCCAGAAGCAGGCAGGTGGGAGGTGAGTAGGGATGGCTGAGAACGTGTCTAAATGCCCCCCTCGCTGCCCCAGAGAGCCAAGGTCTCCCTAGCACTCAGTGTCAGAGCGGGGACCCTGTGCCCGTGTCTGCTCCCCTTGCAGCACAGCTCACACCGAGGGTGCTGGGGACCCCAAGAAGGACCCGGGATGTCACACGGAAGAGAGCCTGGGTTCTGAAGACACTTCTGCTATTTTTTTCCCAAGCATTTTCAAGAATCACATGAATTGCATATGAGCACAGATGCCCAGTGAGAAGCAGACCTCAGAAGGAGGGTTGAGCTGCAGCAGCAAGGAGGGGTGAGGGCACAGCACCATACAGTTGGCGCCCACCCACACAGGGCGGCCGGTTTTGACACCAGGCCGGGTGGCAGATGGGGCCATCCCATTTTATAGATGGAGTTGAGGTTCTGGCCTGGAGTCTCTGGGCCACACACAGGCTCACGCTCCAGGCTCCCAGTGTCTGTGAGACAGCCAGAGGAGGAGACAGAGGGTCAGAGAGTCACATGGCCTGTCTGGTGTCACCCAGATCTGCTTGTTCCCAAGCCTTCTGTCCATGAGCCCCCTCCTTTCTAGAAAAATCAGGAACCTGCCTCCAAGTAAGAATTGAGCGAACTCCTTAGGGCAGCAGCCGCCAAGGAAGGAAATGAACAAAGACCCAAACAAAGTCATAATGGAACATTCTTCCATTTGAGTTTCTTTCTGATGGCTGTGCCGCAGCGTTGTGCCACCTGCAGTGAGTCTCACTCTTCTATAAGCTCTCGTGCCAGGCCTGTGCACACTGCATTTTGCAGCTGTCTGGTGAACATGAGGTTGAAGGAGCCTCGAATATGGCTGGCATTGCTCCTGGATATTACACGTGAAGTCTTGGGATATGAAGATTTACAGCAAGCCTGGACCTTGGAAGGCCGGGCAGTTTGCTGGCTGGCGGAGAGCTGGGTGCGGCCTCTTGATAAGGATCAAGCCTGTCGTGGCCAATTGAGGCTTTTTTCATAGTGATCCTGGCCAGGCCTCGGGTGGAAGTCTACATAACCCAGGGCTCGGGGAGGGGCGGCATGGCAGCTCTGCTTCCCCGCCAGAGAACTGCATGTGCCCCGTGTTTCGTGAAGGTGACCCTTGGGCCCAAGAGCAGGGACAGAAAAAAATCCATCCAGTGCAGGCCGATGTTGAGTGAGGGCCTCCTGTAGGACACCCTCCTGGGAGAGCTCCTGCTCTCAGGTGGGGCTGGGGGAGGCAGAAGTGAGGGCTGGCAGAGAGGAAGCCTGGGGCTGTGGGACCCTGGGGTAGGCCCCCAGTGTGGCTGGTCATCAGGGAGGGCTTCCTGGAGGAGGAGGAGTGTGATCTATGTTTTGAAGGGAGGGAAGGAATTGTCCCGGTGAGGGGCTGGTGAGGATATTCTAAGCAGAGAGGGCTCAGATGCTGTCTGGGGGTGAGGAGGATCCACGGGGCGGGGTGGCTGAGGGGCACAGTGGCTTCTCAAGCCATCCAGTTTCTCCCCATCACCTCTCACGCAGGAAAGCCTTACTTTTTATGCTCTCCCTCCGGCTAAATGCGAGTCCACGAGACATCGTTTCAGGAGTGCAATGCGATTAAGCAGTGAAGTGTGGACAAGAGCATCCAGGGTGGGGGTCACAAGCCCCAGAGGGCAGCGGGCAGTGGCCGTCACTCCCTCTCCACCGTGTCAGGAGGGCTGGGACCCCGTGATGTGCTCATCAGGATTCCATGTGCTCTGGCTTCCCCAAATTCCTGCGGCCCAGAGACAAGTGATAGCATGTGCTTGGTGGAGCTGGACTGGGTGCCCACCCCCTGTTTAAGTCACCCGCGCCACTGAGGGCTGGGCGCGAGCCTGGAACGGCAGTTAGGAGCCGCGGGGTCTGAGCTCGCCGGCGGCGTGTCAGGCGAGTTGGTTTCCTCGTGGGTCACTGTGGGGGTCAGCCACAGTGGGATTAGAGTTCACGCGCTGGTTGCTAAAATCTTAGGTCCTGCAGAAGCCAGAGCTGCTTTGGCCTCAGGAACATTTTACAGCTGAGGAAACTGAGGCACCCAGAAGCAAAGGTTTGTCTGAAGTGAGGAGTCACTGGGGCGGAGCTGGTTCTCTGGCCCAGAGAAAAACCGGCCCCTCTCAGGCTCATGTCCCTGGGCCAGGGAAGGAGGACGCTCCTGTTGCCAGGGCTGGGTCCTGACCCTGTGGGCCCAGGCCCTTTGCTTCTGTGGACTCCTCCCTCCATAGGAAGTATTTAAAATTGCACTTTTATGACTGTCGATGTAAAGATGAATATATAGGAAAACAGTCTCTCCAAACTGAAAAGTTTTGCTTTTATCCTGATTTTAAGAGGAGCAAGCTCATTTTCATAGTTTCCGGAAGCACAGCAGGGCCTGGCTGGGAGCCCTTTCCCTGGGGAACCTGTTGCTGCTGAGCCCCGCACAGGGCGTGGGCACGGGGCAGCCTTGCTGGACTGACTCCTCTCCCCACGGGCATCCTGGTCCCGCTCAGCATGACCTTCAGCATCCTTGGACCCCAAGCGGTTTTCTGCTGACTACAGCAGGGGCCCTGTGGTGTCCTGTCATTGATTGTTCTAGAAGAAATGCGGACGGGATCAGGCAGCTCTGGGAGGGGCTTCCCACGGTGAAAACGTTGGCGCTGTGGGCATGCAGGGAGCTTGTGTGCTGAGGATCAGTTCGTGCCAAGGCCAGGCGAGCGGTACCAAGGCAGGGCGTGTTATCCTCATGTATGATGAAGAAACCGCGCTGCTCTAGCCAGGGTCCAGGCACTCAGCCCTCGTCCTCTCCGACGCCCACGCTGCCTTCAGGAGCCTCAGCTCAGAGGGAACCAGTGAGTCCCGTTGTGGCTGGGAAGGCAGGGAAGGAAGGCCGATCCGTCGGAAGAGTGGCAGGAAAGGGCTCTCTGCTCAATGCCCGTTGAGATGGAGTCAGCCTGGCCTCGGGCAAGATGCAGGGTCATCCAAAAGCCCGGAACATGCTCAGGTCAATTGCCAGGGAGGAAACTGAGGCTCAGAGAGGGGAGTGACTGACTGATTAAAGATGGCAGAGCGAGGGCTGGCGGAGTGGGGCTCTGTGGGGTGGTTCCCCCGAGATACTGAGCTCTGAGGAGCATGTGGGGAAGCAGCTGACGGCCTCCATGCTCACTGGGTCTCTCCTCGGTCTCTTTAGGTGCACCGGGGCATCAAAGGTGTGGTGATGGACAAATTCGGCAAGCCCGTCAAAAACGCCCGGATCTTAGTCAAAGGCATTCGCCACGACATCACCACAGGTGAGCACGTCCCTGGCGGTTCCCTGGGGCCCACGTCTGCCAAGGGAATGCCACACAGTGGCAGCCGGCATCCTCACGCACTCACAGTGTGCCCAGCCCTTGGCAGGATGCTCCATTCCTTCCCAGGCTGGCTGGGTCGGGGAGGGTGGGCAGGAAGCAGGGTCTGCGCCTGCTGCAGGCTGCGTCTCCTTGCAGCCTTTGGTGAGGGAAGAGCTTGTCCGGCCATGGCTACTGAATGACGGGTGGATGCGTGCTCTGTATTCCTACGAAAATGCCTCCTTCTCCAAGAGTGCTGGGGAGAGCTGACTCCACCCATAAACCTATTGGTTTCGATCCCAAAGCTCATACCCCATTGACAAGCCGGGGTGTCCAGCCCCGTGCAGGCTCTGGCTGCCCTTAAAGGGATTTCACAGCTGATGAAAAATGACAGTATGCTGTGATGTGTGTTACCTGCCAGAGATGTGGTCCAGAGAAGAGCAGGACTTTTGCTAACTGTGGTTGGGTATGGGGGATGGGAGTGGTCATCGAAGGTTTCAGAGAAGAGGGGGTGCCTAAGCAGGGTTTTGAGGACAGAGAAAAGAGGTGGGAAGGACATTCCAGGCTCACACAGAGGCAAGTGCACATTTGGCGTCTGCCAACCTCTCCCTACTCACACCCATCACCCGTCACCCTGCGGCTGGGTCTGCAGTCCTCCTGAGAATCATTTGTAATCTATTTGTCCATAGCCCCTGATGGCGACTACTGGAGATTGCTGCCCCCAGGTACCCACATTGTCATTGCCCAAGCCCCTGGCTACACCAAGGTCATCAAGAAAGTCATCCTCCCCGCCCGGATGAAGAGGGCTGGCCGTGTCGACTTCATTCTGCAGCCTCTGGGGGTGGGACCCAGGAACTTTCTTCACGGGCTGCGGAGGACTGGGCCCCACGACCCGCTGGGAGGTGCCAGCTCTTTGGGGGAGGCCACGGAGCCCGACCCACTCCGGGCACGCAGGCAGCCCTCGGCCGACGGGAGCAAGCCCTGGTGGTGGTCCTACTTCACGTCGCTGAGCACGCACAGGCCACGCTGGCTGCTCAAGTACTAGCCGCAGCCCCAGCACCCGCCCGGATGTGGAGACCCAGGCCCATCTCCGCGTCCCGGGCCCCTGGCTCTTGATTTTGTCTGCCACGGACATCCCACAAAGCCGCTGCCGTTTTATTAAAGTGTTTATATCCACTTTCCACTGGAATGAGAGGCTGTGTGTAAGGCGCTTTCCAGGGAAGGCTGGGGACTGACCCTTGTTGCCTGAGGACAGCTGTGGCCTGGGCCCCGTGGGGCAACCCCAGGCAGCTATCCTGCTGCCCACAGGTCCCGATTGCAGGCCTGAGACTCCAGCCCATCTGTGCTGGGCCAGGTGGACTAGCTGGCTTTTCTCAGACCACCAGGCCTTGAACTGACTTCAAATGGGAAACTGAGGTGGGCCAAGGGCGTGAGCCTCTGTAGGAGCTGAGCTCTGGATCCTGCAGCTGAAGCTCATGTGTCCTGGAGTGCAGAGGAGAAGCGGGGGCGCTGAATGGGAGGATGGGGGTGGGCAGCAGGTGACCCCAAGGTAGGGTCAAGACCTCGAGGGCAGGAGAGCTGACCAGAGCCTGGGGCCTCATGGCATGGTGGAGGGGACCACACTCAGGCTCACAGGCTTCCAGGGGGGCCTGGCTCCATGGGGGTGGATATTCCTGGGTCCTCCCTCATCCCGATCATGCTACTTGGGTCCAGGGACCCTCTCCTGTCCCCTCTCTCACCATCCAGAAAGTCTGTCAGCCCCAGGATCCTCCAGGAAGGGGTCCCATAGCCTGAACAGAGAATGCGGCAGAGAAGGTGCCTGAGCCGGCCAGGGCTGCGTCAAAAAGCAGCAGAGACCTGGCGCTTCAACAGCACAAGTGTGTCCTCCCGCAGCCCTGGGGGCTGACGTCAGAGCCCTGTCGGCAGGGCAGGCTCCTGGCGCCACTCCCCGGCTCGTTGGCGGTCATCCTTCACCCCTCTTCCCATCATCGTCCCACTACGTGTGTCTCTGTCCACATTTCCTCTTCTTATACTGGTCTAGGGCCTAATATAAGACCCTAGTGACCCTCACTTTAATTTAGTTACCTTTACAAAGATGCTACCTCCAAATAAGATCACACTGAGGACGTGGGGTTAGGACTTCAGCAGATGAATTTTGTGGGAGGGACATGGTTCAGCCCCTAGGAGAGGGTAACATCTGCCACGCAATGGCTCCTCACGTGCTCCCGGCTGTGCCCATCAGCTATCCTAGTTCCAGAACTCCAGGCCCGGGCAGGCCCCTCCGTGGAAATGGGCATCTACTCTGAGCAGTGCCTCGACCTCAACTGAATGACAGCATGGTCCCCGCCAGCACCCTCAGCCTCATTCCATTGCCTCCTGGCAGCTATGCCCTGACACAAAGGCCTCGGGGTTCCCAGCTGAAGCCTGGAGGAGCAGGCACACCCCCGGCGCTGGGCGGTGTGCTCTGAGGGGAAGGCACGGGGAGGGCTCAGGCAGCCTACAGCCCTTAAGTCTTGCACTGGCACAGCAGAGCTTGGTTTGCTGAGCAAGGCACGGGTAATGATCTGGAGTGTTTGGGGGAACATCTCACAGCCTCCCGGGCCCCTGCACCCTACATTCACCCATGCGCCTAGTGACTTGAAGGTCTACATTTATTTGGTTCCACTGCATACAGGGCACCATGCAGGGGTCCTCTGAAACCCCAGGAGGCCTGTGGAGCAGACCTCTGCTTCCTGCTTTGCTGACATGGGTGTGGAGACAGCGGGCACGAGTTGCCCAGGACTCAGGGTGTGCAGGTGGCCGTTCAGTCTCAGTGCCCCCGTGGGGCACCTGCACGAGGCCTTCCCTGCACTTCATTCTGTCCCACCCATTCACATTGTCTAGGGAAAAGCCTAATCAGTGGGTGTGTGGGGTGGGAGGACTCATTCCAGAGCCCAGTTCATGTCAGGGGCCAAGGACCAGGTCCCCATCATAGAAACTGGGATGAAGAGTTGGTCAGGGAGCCTTGGGGAAGGCTGTGCAGGAGGGCCGTGGCAAGAGTGGGAGCTGGGGAGGGGGAGACGAGGAGATGGCGTTCTCTCCACACACCACCCCAGATCCAGCCAGTGGGGACCGTTCGGCACTTCCATGTCTTTTTTTGTTTGTTTTGAGACAGAGTCTCACTCTGTCGCCCAGGCTGGAGTGCAGTGGCACGATCTAGGTTCACTGCAACCTCCACCTCCTGAGTTCAAGTGATTCTCGTGCCTCAGCCTCCCAAGTAGCTGGGATTACCGGTGCCTGCCACTACGCCAGCTGATTTTTGTATTTTTTTAAGTACAAATGGGGTTTCAACATGTTGGCTAGGCTGGTCTTGAACCCCTGACCTCAGGCGATCCACCCACCTCGGCCTCCCAAAATGCTGGGATTACAGGAGTGAGCCACCACGCCTGGCTCTGTGTCCTGTTGCTAGAATCTGCGCAGTCCGTAGTGACATCCTTGCCTCTGGCAGGACGCCCTGGCAGGGCCCTGCTGCCCCCTCTCACTTTCCGCAGTCCCCTGGTTTCCAGTGTGAAAGCTGTCAGAATCAAAATGGAGACACTGTGTTAAAAAACAAAGCAAACCAGAACCCCAACCAATAAAGCTGGGAACAACCCTGATGGTATTCCCCATGAATCGATCACAGAAGACGGCAAACAGCACACTCGTGAGCAAAGTCCATGACAACCTCACACCAAAAACACTTCTGCGAGGACGCCTGCCCAGCCTCAGACTGTTACCACCCGTGTTATCGATTCCTGTGGCAAGGATAATTATCCCAAAACAATGATGTGATTCTCCCCACTTTCCCATGAAAGCCTCTGTGCTTGTACCTCCCTGAATATGCACAGCAGACTCCAGCATACGTATTTCCACTGCAACGCCCGACTCCTGAGCGAACCTCATTTTCATTTGGAGAGCCTCTCTGGCAGTGGTTCGGGTGGACGCTAGTGTGGACGCGGCATCGGGAAAACGGAGCCGTACACCAGGGCTGCCTATTGCTCTAGGCGTGCTCACCGCTTCCAGGCCTGTCCGTGGACAGAGCTAGATATCCAATTGTTTTTAAAGGGAAAACACATAAGGCCGGGAGTGGTGGCTCATGCCTGTAATCCCAGCACTTTGGGAGGCTGAGGCCGGTGGATCACCTGAGGTCAGGAGTTCAAGACCAGCCCGGCCAACATGGTGAAACCCTGTCTCTACTAAAAATGCAAAAAAAAAAAAAAGAAAAAAAGAAAAAAAAATTAGCTAGGCATGGTGGCAGGCTAATTTGGAGGCTGAGGCAGAAGAATTGCTTGAACCCGGGAGGCAGGGGTTGCAGTGAGCTGAGATTGTGCCATTGGACCACAGCCTGGGCAACGGAGCAAGACTCCATCTCAAAAACAGAAACAAAAATAAAAAACACAGAGGGTTCATGTTGCTACTTCCAATTCCAAACCAGAATGACCTTCTCCTGTGTAGAGAATTCCAGATTCAGGGCAAAGCAGGGGAGGGACAGAGTAGAAAGTCACACAACTGTGCCTGCTTTATCCGAAGCACACAGGATAGTCACACAGCCCAGGGCCAGCCCGTACCCACAGTGCAATCACTGCAAACAGCTCCAGTTGTTTCTTCAAGTTCCTTTCGTTCTGGGATATAACCCACTAGGGCTACATATAAGCTCTGATGATTGACTTTTAATATTCCTAGCAGCTGAGAAGACCAAGGTGCCATGGAGAGCCACAGCCCCTCCAGAAACCACGCCTGGCCAGGAGGCCATGTGTCTAGAGCTGAGACCCCGAGGAGTGGGTCCCCAGGGGACTGGTCTCAGGGAGAGGTGCTGCCTCTTAAAACACAACAATGGACAGACAGGTGATACGTTCAACAGTAGCATGAACAATTTCTGGAACTAGAAATCATTATTTGTAAAAGAAAAACCCATTTATGAGTTGAATCAGAGGAGCGACTCCTGTCTCTGAGTTCTAAATTCATGTTGGGGAGGAACAAATGGAGGAATTACCTGACTGAAATATAAAGCAAAAATACCGCCTTGAGGAAGTTATGAGGGAAAAGAGATTTTGAGAACAGATCCAGTAGCCCCATATGCAAATAACAGGGAAATAAAATCTAATAGGAAAAAGACCTGGCACAATGGCTCACGCCTGTAATCCCTACACTTTGGGAGGCCGAGGCAGGCAGATCACTTGAGGTCAGGAGTTCGAGACCAGCCTGGCTAATATGGAGACACTCCATCTCTACTAAAAAAATACAAAAAATTAGCTGGGTGTGGTGGCAGGCACCTGTAATCCCAGCTATACTCAGAATGCTGAGGCAGGAGAATTGCTTGAACCCAGGAGGCAGAGGTTGCAGTGAGCCGAGATTGTGCCACTGCACTCCACCCTGGGTGACAGAGCGAGACCCTGTCTCCAAAATAAATAAACAAACAAATAAAAGAAGACTGATGGATGTTTACAAAGCGTTCAGAGGAAAGGGCTCTGCCCTGACACTCTATACCCCAGCATGAATACTACTACTAACAATAAATGATATAATAATAGCTGATACCCTTGGACTGTTTTCCCTATCCAGGCACAACTTAAATGTTGTCTGAACTTGTTCAACTTGTTTCCTCTCCTTAAGGAGAGACACATTAGAATTATCCCCATCTCACAGGCACGGACAGGTCAAGTGACTTGTGCACCATCACACAGCCAGGGTTAAAAACCAGAAAACCTGCCTTTGGGCTGGGACTGTGTTCTCTGTCACTCTCTCACTGCCTCTTCAGATAGAATTCGTGGGTCACAGAGAAAGAAAGCCATGTCCAGATTGGCAAGGATAAAGGGAAGGCGACCCCCGGACCCTCCTTTGAGCAGACAAGCATGGACTTAGCACAGGGCCAGCAGGAGGAAGAGGAAGCAGGGGCTGCCCAGCTCCCTGAGAGATTCAAGGCCACGTGAGAGCCCCGGGAAAGTGAGGTTTGAATGGGGAATGAGGAGCATGCGATCGAGAGGCATCCCACGGCCGACCTCCCGGGCCTGGGGGTGTAAGTGGCCGGAAGCCCCCGGGGGGCTCAGGCATGATGGGGGAGAAGGGACTCCCAGTTGCTGGTGGAGGTGGTGTTTGGGTTCCTGTCCTGCAGGACTGGGAGTCTGACGCTGAGGATGGAAGGGAACAGCGCCGCCTGGTGGCACGGGAGCG